ATCCGGCCGTTATCGGTGACTCGTTTTCGACGCTGTTGAACAGTCGAAATCGACCGTCGAAGTCCGTCGCATCTTCCTTCCCAGTCGCCAGGAGAGCAGATGACCACTCCGGTCTCAAACTCCGACTTCGTACCGGCGGCGCTGTCCTTCCCGTCGTTGGTTTTCCTTCCTCGCCTACAGGAGCGCCGACGTCCACTCCGGCCTCCGACCTCGTATCATCGCCTCCGTCCAAAAGATCTCCGCTGTCGGTTAGGATGAGCAGTCCCGCTCTCCACACGTCCGGTTGACCGAGGCGAAGTCCAGTCCGCCTTGGGTCATCGCCGGTTGGTTTCCTCAAGTTGGAGGAAGCAGACGGAAAGTAATATTGGAAGGAGGAGCCGAGGAGGTGACGGAAAAAAAAAAAAAAAAAAAAAGGAGGGATGGCGGCGGCATGGAAGTTGCTAACCCGTTTTAGGGTTTCCCACTTTAGTTTGGGCCAGCATAAAGCTTAGCCCACATTGGCCCTTATGGGCTCCCACGTCTGATTTGGTAAGAGTTCTTATGGGCTCTTCAATTAGATTTTGGGTGATTGTTTTTGTTTGCAGGCTTTTTGCCAGCAAAGTTAGTCAAGTATCAGTCGAGGTATTCACGATCCATTAAATGGTCGTCCCCTGGCGTTCAAAAGGTAGTACGATCAAAGAAGTAATCGTCCCTTCATCGTCCAGCTGGCATTCACGATCCAAGAAATGGTTGTCCCCTCTTCCGGTTCATTAGTGGGCACATATCAACCATTCATCGCTTTTCAAGCCGGGCATTCACGATGTTCATGCTCCGGCTTGAGGGGGAGAATAGGAGGTCAACATACGACGGTCGACTAATTCAGTCCTCAGGTCGACCGCGATGTACCAAGTGTGTTCCAGTTCAAGAGACGCAGTCAATCGTCTCTATCATCAGGTTGTTCAGAGAGAGTCAGTCTTCTCCAATCAACCTCGTTCGAGATGTTATTCATCTCGAGTTTTGTGGTTCAAGCCATCGTGCTTGTTCTTCACATTTACTTCTTCAAGCTCGACATTCTTGTCATTCATGTCTTCGCTTGAGGGGGAGTGTTGCGGTTACTTAAACCGTGTTAGTATTGGGCCTTGTTGGGCCTTGTCTGATTCGTTGGGTTAGGGTTTTAACCCTAAGTTTCTCTATAAAAGCTTAGCTACGAACCTGTCGTAAGCAAGCTGTCACAATGTAAACCTAATAAGAAATCAGCCGTGAGCTCTTATGAGCTCACCATGGATTAGTCTCGATCAATCAATCGATCGAGGATACCACGTAAAATCGTTGTCTTCTGTGTTCTTTCCATCTTCCGCATCATCAAATTCTACATGGAGTTCTAAGGTTTGAATTTCAGGGACGACGCTCATTTTTCGGATCCTTCTCCCATCCCTCTAAAAGCATATTGTAACATGTTTATGTAAAAAAAAGAGGCATTCATCCATTTCTTTTTTCTTTTTTCCTTTTCCTCTACGCATGGTGCATAACCCTAGGGTTGTTAATGAGCCGAGTTGTGCCTTGTTCATGTTCGGCTCGTTTATTAACGAGCCGAGTCGAGTCGAACACGAGCTAGCTCATTTATTAAATCTTGATACATCATTAAGATCGAAAGTTTGGCTCGAACTCAACTCTAAGATAATTTATAATATAAATACCCTAATATTTATATGTCATATGTGATACATGTGATTACCTAATATTATGTCGTATATGAGACGTATGTGCTTACATATACTCAATGTATTAAACACCATATGAGGTGATATATGCACTTTAATAATTATATGCATCATTAACAAACCAACTCATAAAATACAAATTGATTTTCTCATAAGCCGTAGTCGAGTTGGCTCTCTATATATTCACAATGTTGGGACATTTCATAAGCTCAAAATGAGATAGTTCATGAGTTGTATTAACGAGCCACCTAATCGAGCTAGTTCACGAGCCGAACAAGGTAGAGCTCAAGCTCGTCTCGTTTATTAACGAGCCGAGCTTTTTTTTAATCGAACAAGCTTTTATCAAGTTCGAGACCGAGTCGCTCACGAATAGCTCGGCTCGGCCCTAAATTAGCGCCCCATAAGAGATCCAAGTTTTGACTTTTGGATTAATGCTCAAAGAAGCTGTATAGAGAGAGATAGTGGTACATAGTTGTGGGAATAGTTTTGGTGGTATTGCGGTCGCAGTCAGCTTAGCCCCTTGGAATGGCATATTCAAACAAAAGAGCTACTTCCCTTTCCCAAGCCTTTTGCTCCTCAATGGTAGAATCCAACTAATAAAACATCTTAATTAATATATAACATCAATTTAGAGTAAACATTATTTTATGCCAAAACAAAACATGATTAGGTTTAATAGATCTAGATCATGGATGAACAACATTAACATTTTTTTTTTTAATATGTGGTCGAGAGGCATACGTGTCAAATACAAATGTGGTGGTCTCTCTTGAGTGCGGATCTGGTGACTAAGGGGGGTGCTTAGTCACTTGACTAAGCCCCTCCTAGCCATTAGATCTGGACACTTCAATCCAATGGTTAAAAAGTGGGAAGGGCTATTTAATTAATAGCAGGGGTAGTTTGGGTATTATGAAAAATTACGAAGTATACAAACCGGATTTACAATCAGTACAAACCATACAAACATACGAACAGTACAAACTAGAGCGACAAAACATACAAACATTACAAACGTATGAACTGTACAAACAATACAAACTAGACTGACAAACAATACAAACCATACAAACATACGAACAGTACAAACTAGAGCGACAAAACATACAAACATTACAAACGTATGAACTGTACAAACAATACAAACTAGACTGACAAACAATACAAACCGTACAAAAAGAAAAAACAACCGGGTTGACTTTGGAGGCTCCATCCCTATATAGAGGGGCTCCTTCCCAAAGTCAACCCGGGTGTTTTTTAGACATACAAACGGTACGAACATGGTGGACAAAAATGACAAACTAGACCGACAATCCATACGAACGGGAAAAAACACCCGGGTTGACTTTGTAGGCTCCATCCCTATATAGAGGGGCTCCTTCCCAAAGTCAACCCGGGTGTTTTTTAGACATACAAACAGTACGAACATGATGGAAAAAAATGACAAACTAGACCGACAATCCATACGAACTGGAAAAAACACCCGGGTTGACTTTGGAGGCTCCATCCCTATATAGAGGAGGTCCATCCAAAAGTCAACCCGGTTGTTTTTTAGACATTACAAACATGGTTGACAAAAATAACAAAGTTTACAAACATGGTGCACAAAAATAACAAAGTGTACAAACATTACAAATAAAACCGACAAACATTACAAAATAACAAAGTATACAAACATTACAAAATATGTCAACAAACATCACAAAATTAGCACCGTCGCCGGGAAATTCTTCTCCGGCGACGATGTTCGCCGGAAAAAAATTTCCGACCAGAAAAAATCTCTCTCTCTCTCTCTCTCTCTCTCTCTCTCTCTCTCTCTCTCTCTCTCTCTCTCTCTCTCTCTCTCTCTCTCTCTCTCTCTCTCTCTCTCTCTCTCTGGTGGAAAGAATCGACTTGGGGATAAAATCCCACAACAAAAAGTGCAGAGCAGCGGGGAAAAAAAAAAGTGAAGAGCAGCGGGAAAAAAAAAAAAGAGGCGGACGGCCGGAAAAAAAAAAACGAGGCGGACGAGCAGGGAGAATGACCCAGAAATAAATTATTTAATAATTAAAAATAAAAATAATCATGAACTTACAATTTTGCCCTTCATTAAAGTAGATTAATTGTAGCCATTAGATTTTAATGAGATGGAAGGGCTGAGATTTACTTAGTCATGTGACTAAGGGACCCCCCTTAGTCACCTGATCTTATGTAACCCATTATGTACAATTTGTTTTTGACAATCCCCATTATGTACATTTAAGTAGTGGGTCTTTGGCAAAAGAAGCCCTAATAAAGAATATACTCTAAACTGATGGATGATTATGATCGTTAATCTAGTTTAATGGTGATCATCAAATGTAATTTGTGCCATTCAAACCATAGATATGTTGGCTTCTAATTGGCTACATGCCACACTTTGAAACCCACTTACACTTTGCATCATCACTCCAAGTGGTCCACAGCAGCATGCATACCTCTTCCACTCCACAATTACATACTTTAATACTTAGTTTAGGGATCTATTACTAACATTTATTGAAATGTTATAGCACGGGTAATGGATTATTAGCAAACCATCCATTCATTTAGTCAGAACTAAACGCATATGGTTGACTAAAGTTACATTTTGAGAGAAGATAGATGTAGAACTATCACTTAAGCTAAGTAGACGAGAATTTCGTATAGTTTCTGATTGGATTAGATGATAGTTTGGAAAAAACTACTTTGCCAACGAACTTGATCTAACCGATCCACCACCGACAACATTTTTTTTATAATATCATAGAAATATTTCAAATATTCTTTTAGCAAGATAAAAACATATCACGTTTTCATTTAGTTTCTTTATCAAATATATTCTCTTCCCCTCTTTTCTTTTACCGGTACTATATAAATGATTGTAAAACCGTACTGGAAGCTATACCTGGAAAGTTTGTGATAAGATGTTTTGTACTGAAATCGTGATTCAACCATTTGGTATCGCTAAAGCATCCTACTGTTTAGGGTCTGGTATTTTCAATCGAACCAGCCGATACGATAAGATTTTTTAAACTATATTACCACTATAGACAAACATACCCTCCATCACTCCCTCTTCTCCTCCCCTGCTTTCCTGCTTCTTTCCTTGTTAATCCATTTGCTATATATACACAACCCCAACTCCTCCAACCCACCTCTTCTACTTACTTACTTCCCATCTCTCTCTCTCTCTCTCTCTCTCTCTCTCTCTCTCTCTCTCTAACCAACTAAACTCCCTTCCACAAATACTGTTAAGTTCATCATTAATTACTCTGTTTACAAGTTGTGGGTTGAAATCGATTCATGGAAGAACTGGAGCTCCAAAACTACCAAAACCTCGACACGTCGTCATCATCCTCCGCCTCCCCACGGCTAAAGCTCTTCGGCTTCAACGTCTCCTCATCGTCTAATTACCCAGAAGATTATAATTACAACCATAATTACAACAGCTATTACGATGAAGACCACCACCATCAGCACCAAATCAACGCTGTAGCTGAATCACTAGAATCCAGCTGCTGCCCCTCTTCCACCTCGGGCCCACCAGATCCGCCGCCGACGGCGGCGGACGGCGGAGGGAACGGCAGGAAGTACGAGTGCCAGTACTGCTGCAGGGAGTTCGCCAATTCCCAGGCTCTAGGGGGACACCAGAACGCACACAAGAAGGAGCGACAGCAGCTGAAGCGGGCCCAATTGCAAGCCACCCGCAACGCAGCGGCGGCCGCGGCCGCCGCCGTGTCTTTCTCCGGCGGTATGATTAGGAATCCCATGATCTCCGCCTTCGCTCCGCCGCCGCATCTCCTCCCTTCCCCTCCGTCCGGCGGCGCTGGATCCCTAATTGGGCCTCCTTCTTGGGTTTATTTGCCCCGTACCGCGCCGCCGTTTGGGGTCTCCCATGGCGCCGTGTTTGGCGGCGGTGGCGGTGGTGGGAGGGGCGGAGGGGGTTTTTTGTACGGTGGTGGCGCCGGAGGGGAGCTGGGATTGTCGGGTGGGTCCCACCATAGTCCGGATGGGCCGACTTCACTTAGCAGATTCTCGAGAGGAGAAGGTGGGCCCAGTTTCGATGACTCGTTGGGCTTGGACTTGCATCTCAGTCTGGCTCCAGCTGGCCCGTGATCTCTTTTTTTTTTTTTTTTTTTTGGCTCGTGGTTATATATAATTTTTTGTATTTGCTGTAGGGATATATGACTTTGGATGTTTATCATTTATAGACTCCGATGGTCTTGTACATTTGTTCAATTAATATCTATTTATTTATTTTGATGGAATCCGTGATTCTTTTCTATATTTGTAGATCTTTATATAATTTCTTACTTAATTTTGTAATTAATTTGCTAGAAAATAACTGAAGATTGAAGAACAAAGGGACATGATTAAAGCAAACGATAAGCCATTTTAAGTCTTCGGTAGGTCAAAAAGGAGGGCGAGTTTATTGAAATATGGGTATCATATTGTAATTAACTAATTCCTATTTATGGTTAATTACCACTAGTTTTGTAATCCAAATCTTTGAAATTACAATAATAATATTGACAAGCGAGTCTACTGACTACCTCTCATGGATTAGTCTCAACCAGTTGATTCATTATAAATTGATTATCATACTTCAACAATGTCATGGCAAAATTAGGGGGGGGAATCAAACTCGAGTTCATAGGATGTGAATATGCATGATTAGTCTGTTCTGTTAAGATTAATTTTTTTCTACTTAATTTCTTCACATTGTATTTGTCCAAAAATAGCTAAACCGTATGTGACAGACATTACTCATTTGTGGCTAAAATGGTCCACACGACGAGGAAAAAACCTTCATGGGTGTGTTTCTTTCCTTCTTAAAACGGCACTAGCTAGCTTAGTGATCATGTTGCCTCTTCTTGATCCTCTCTCCTTCCAACTCCTCCCTTCATGGCTCCAAATGTCGTGACTCACGATGCTGCTGTTAGGGAAAAGACCAGAAGGAAAGTATGCAAAATCAATTTCTTAGTTAGGGAGACAGGAAAACATTGTTTCTATGATTAAGAATTCAGAACGGTTTACTGTTTGGAAACTAAATTCTCAAATCTCAATGCTTATTATATGGAGTAGCTAGTCTCCCAAATCTCCAACTAACCCTTTTAAATTTGGTCCATCCCCATCCCATGATGCATATAAGATATAGGGGTATTATGTGGTAGGTAGATTCGTTTGGTGGCCATGTTTGTCATCTTTGTGTCGAAAGGTATAGATTGCTAGCAAGATTAACCAAATTTTAATCATTAATAAGATAACTTACTAGAGTTTTTCATTAATTCATGTGGGTCCAACTCCTCACATGCTTGGCAAAAAAATTCTTTCCTTGATTAGACTAACAAGAGAAATTGGAGCTTCCTACCCAACATAAAAGAAAGAATAGAAAATGGAGCATTATTTGTGTTTGATCTGAATTAATTCATTGAGAAGCAATACTAAGAGCTATCTTCATTGATAGGTTATGAACGAGTTTATTTAACCAATTTTTGTTTATTTATCTGAACTGAATGTGTAAAAAAAAAATCGATAACTTGTAATCTGTATATATATATTATGTGGTAGTTAAGATATAATATCACCGATTAATTAAAGAGAGATTTCATACATATTCATCATAAACGAAGAAGAAAAAAGTTCAACCCAAGATAGTTCGTTCAGAATATAAGAAAATGACGGAAAAACAAATATTAAGCAATGTAGTTCTAGTGTCAGTCATGCAGACAAATTCTAATTATTATTGATGGATCAATGATTCGTTCATCCTTTGCTACATTCTCTTCTATCCCCTATAAATAAAACTATGAATCGGTGTAGTTCAACCTGCAAAATGGTCAAACATGATAATACCTAATCTAGTTTATGATAGGCACACATATATTGAAAAGTTCAATGTACACTGCACATGAGTGGAATTCGGTTGAGAAATATAATGACTATTTGTGCATTATAAGAAATGATATATCAGTGAAGCTTTGTTAATTTGGGTTTAGTAAAGCATCCATCTTAGATTATTATAGCAATTAGCACCCATCTTTCATATGTATGTATAGAGTATAGACTATATATAGTAGGTATATTTGGTGCCAGGGGCGGAGCCAGAACAGACCAAGGTGGGTCGGCTGCACCACCTTGGCTCTGCAACACACTGGCATAAACTGCTTTTATTTGTGATTTCATTGCTGGGTTTATTTGTCTCTGTTTTTAATGTTCTTCATAATCTAACCTGCAGGGGAGACTTTGATCGAGCAGACCATCTGTTAGGGAATTTAGTTTTGTTATTGATACGACATAGTTTTAAATTTGCTTGGACTTATAACATTTATTAATTGCTTTAGTTTTTGCGCAGGCCTTTTACTTAAAGAGGATTGGGCTTCGTTTAAGTTAAGCATGGACTGGCATTTAAGAATTGGGCTTAAATTAGTCTAGCCCAAGAGACAATTTGCTTCTGCCGCAGAGAAAAGAACGGAACTAGTTTGGTCACTTCATTTTGATCAAATCACATTTCCTTCCCTATTTCTCATATTCTCATCTTCTTTAGCTTTCTAGGTTTCAAGGTAGACCGATGGTAGAGAAAAATCCACAAGTACAAGGGAATCGTATTGCGCTCGACATACCAACAACCCCAAACCCATATAGACTTCTGGGTAAATGGCGCTTATTCAGTGATAACATTTTCTAACCTCTAAAATAGGTTGTCGATCGCTACTTGCCGCTCATTGTTCACAACGATCTATGTCACTATTCGACCCACCTTAGTAAAATTTCTGGCTACGCCCCTGTTTGGTGCATGCATGTTCGTAGTTCTTGTACCCATCCCCATCCTTGTGATTAACTCCTTTAAAAAGGTATCCTAGGTCATAACGAGGAGAGTTTCCAAACTATATGGCCAAACCTAATACGACTCCGGTGAGGTTTATAAATATTTATACCGGTGGGCCACGATATTTCTTCTTATTCCTTATGATCGAGTATTCGATTTATGCCCGGGCACAATTCCAATTAGAAGTCGAAAATGAGATCAGACACACTAGTTTTTGCCCAATCATATCATAGGTCCTATAATTTTATCTCAAGTGTTGAATACGAACAGACGAGATTGGAAAAGAAATCTATATCATCATGTCAGTTGTGGTTGGTTTAGGAAAAATTTGAAGTCAGAGAATAGTTATGTTCTAAACAGGAGGGAAAAATTACAATTCTAGAATTGGTGAACCGAAAAGATTCTCCTTCTTCTAGGTATGACTTGATCTTTTAGCTCCAGCAGACTCATAGATCATGGAACAAGATAACAACTCAGCACAATGATTCTTATAAGTTTCGTTTGTTCGTCCCAACCATGACACACCATACCATCATATGCAAAATCGAGGACAAAAACTCTTGAAGCGAATTTAACCCAAAACAAATTATACAATTTACTAATAACACATGGAAAAATAATCATTTTCTAAGAAGACAATAAATCTCCAAATATCAAAAACTAAATAATGCATATATATGATGTCAAGTAACCAATAAAGGCAGATTCGATTGGTTGCTTAGACGTCTTTGCTTTCCAACAACGGCCTTATATATGAAAGCAGATCAGATTGGCTGCTTTAATTTACAAGACTTTCACTCTTCTTTCCCCAAATCCCTTCGGTGGCCTCGCACTTTGGATCTGCTTTCTTTCTTGTTTTTTTGCTCTACAAGGATACTAAAAAGGAGTGGCCAACCCTACATATTTGAAAACTCGTGCACTTAGAAAAAAATTATTTCCGACTTTTTTTATTTACGAAAGAAGAGTATAGCTCCAATAATCTTTTTAGGACCTTTTGGTCATAAAATCGTATTCCTTCGGACGCAAGAAACAAAAATATCAAACCTGTTCCCACTTTGTATAGGCTTGTAAACCTTCCCTCCGGCATGGGCAAAGTAATGGGCCAACGAAAATGAAAGATGGGCCGTGAAATCAGTTAAGTGGAAATGGGCTGGGAGGTGGAATAGGCTCCTGGGCTAGTACCTGCCAGGAGTCCAGGACCTTGACCTGTGTTCTCAGCCCTGGGGAGGAAGGTATGAAACTTGGAGTGCGGATCTGGTGACTAGGGGGTGCTTAGTCACTTGACTAAGCCCTTTCTAGCCATTAGATCTGGACACTTCAATCCAATGGTTAAAAAGTGGGAAGGGCTATTTAATTAATGGCAGGGGTAGTTTGGGTATTATGAAAAATTACGAAGTATACAAACCGGATTTACAATCAGTACAAACCATACAAACATACGAACAGTACAAACTACAGCAGTACGAACATGGTGGACAAAAATGACAAACTAGACCGACAATCCATACGAACTGAAAAAACACTCGGGTTGACTTTGGAGGCTCCATCTCTATATAGAGAAGTTTCATCCAAAAGTAAACCAGGTTGTTTTTTAGACATAAAAAACATTACAAACATGGTTAACAAAAATGATAAACATGGTGCACAAAAATAACAAAGTTTACAAACATTATAAAAAAAACCCGACAAACATTACAAAATAACAAAGCGTACAAACATTACAAAATAATCCGACAAACAGTACAAAACATACTAACCGTACAAAATGTCACTAAAAATGACAAACAATACAAACCGAATCAATACAAACATTACAAAATAGGTTAGCAAACATCACAAATCCAACACTGTCGCCGGGAAATTTCTTCCAGTCGCCTCTCTCTCTCTCTCTCTCTCTCTCTTTATTATTTTAATTATTAAATAAATAAATTATATAATTACCACTTTACCCTTCATTAAAGTAGATTAATTTGAGCCATTAGATTTTAATGAAGCTCAATGGCTGAGATTGACTTAGTCATGTGACTAAGGGACCCCCCTAGTCACCTGATCTTCAGCTACTTACCTTTAAACTCCACCAGTTTCAGTTTCATTGTAATACCGTATTTGTATCGGAAAATTCACAAGTAGGATTTTTATACTGAAACTATAATTTTAACCATGATTCAATGGTCTCATGTCGCTAAAGTTCTGGTAGTATTGCCGGTACGATGCAGCTTCAAACACCGTGGTAAAAGAAAAATCAGTTCGTTGTGTACTAGAACAACTAGACGAAGAACAATTTCCT